ACAATGGGGACCAAGCTCAGCTCTGCACGCGCATTCTGCTGCTTGCTCACAACAGTCGCTTTCACTCGGTCGGACAGGAAATCGTGGATCAACTTGACTCCTTCAAACCTAGGGCCTGCGCACGTTCCAGACAGCACGGCACCCGACTTCAGGACGGCCGAGCGAGGTGCAAGTGTACTGCTTCAAGAAGCGCTTCTCGGTCGGCGACGAGACCTCTGTGAACGACGACACCAAGCGATAGTCGGCGTAGTCCAGCCTACACAAGCGTCTACCTTCCTGCCTTCACGCAATCGGCTTGAGCGAGAGGTGACCTTCACTGCCGCCTCCGCATTCACCCAGCATGCCCAGCCAAAACGGCGCGATACCCAACATCTTCGTTGGAGATGTGGTGCGAACGACATCCGAGGGCGCATATCCACCACCCAAGCAGGTGGCAGAGGAGGAGGGGTACGTGCTCCGAGTATGGAGCGAGGAAGAGGACCTGCTGCCGGATGACTTTCAGGGTGGAGAACCTTCTGTAAACCGAAAATTGGAAAAGGGAGAGATTGGCATGGTCATTTGGCCAAGCCATGCGCGGAAGATCGCACCAGCTTCCTCAGTGACTCTCATCGATCGGTGAGCGGTTCCCTTCAAAGTTCTTTTAACGTCAACCGCGTGATAATGAGCTGAACTTCTGTGCACCTAACCGGTCCATTGTGTCCTTGATCATTGTTCTGCTTGCAGAACCTTTGGCATCGGTGATGTCGTGCAAGCCCGTGCTTCCACATCGCGCGCAGGCGCAGCACCTCGCACAGGAATGGTGACAGCTACGCGCAAGAAGCTCAGATTACGCCATATCACCACGGGACAAGAAGCTCACGATGTCCCCGCCGAACATGTGCGAGGCGTGCTTGGAATCCTGCCTGGCGATCACGTGGCATATGGAGATTGGGTGGGGGTTGTGGAAAGCACTTTCGAGGACGCTATGGTTGCTACGCCTTCTGGACTGCGCAGAATATGTGACGTTGGAGGTCTGCTCACAGTCGGAGAAATGGAAGAGGTGAGTCATGCACACAATCAAGGAATTATTCGAGATCGCAGTACTATGGGTGGACAACGCGAGGTCTAACGCGCGCGAAATCTTTTGTGAAGCTGCATGGGCCCAGCGGCGGATCAGGTCTACCTCCCATGATCAGACGAGCGCTTGGATTCGAGTCGCCTTCGGAAACCGACCACAGCCGCCGACCTGTCATGAGGCAAGCCATTGTGAAGGGTCCGCCGAACCGCGAAAGAGTGCACACTGTGCTGAGCGTCAAGCAGCCAATCAGTGAGGGCCAACGGAGCGAAAGCGAGCACACTCCGTAGCTGACCCTCATACACGCCTCAGTTGCCGTCGACTGGCTCGCCCTGAATCAAAAGGTCAGGGCACCTAATACGTGACACATCGAGCCCGGTCCATTGCTCACACTCTCCTCTTCCTTGCATGCGTGCCCGCCAGATGAGCCCTGAACAGTCGGCCGCGAGCAAAAGACCCAAACGCTTTTGGTACTCCCGCGAAGAAGACGAGCTGATTGTGCTCAGTCAGGCATTCGAACACGACTGTGAGCTCGTCGTCGCTGTATCCGCGGCTAGCGCTGCTTTTTGGCTGACACCCTTTACCGCAATCAGACCCTGTCGGCGACAAAGTAGAATTTGTCAGTCCCACGATCGCCGCCCAGCATGACATGCAGATGCACCAGATGCACGGCATCGACGTGACAGGCTTCCATGTCCTGAGTCGTTCGACGCAGGTGGACGTGCTTTGGCAGGATGCAACTACGAGCACCGAGCACTCGACCGCGCTAGAGCCTTATACCATCCTCGACGAGCACGATGTCTGGCCAGGCGAATTTGCAAGCTACCAGCCAGGCCACGAAGCCATCGCGCAAGTTGGCGTGGTTCAAAGTGTAGACCCTTTCGAGAGAACGGCGCGGTTACGACTGTACAAGGCACAAGGAGAAGTGCTCTCTGTGCCTTTGTTTGACATTCGACCTCGATCATCAGAGCAAGCGGACCTCCGGCTTGGCGACACAGTGCTCATCGCTGATCATTGCACAGGCACACCACCTCCGATGGTACCCACGCTGGGCGCGCCGGGCGATGATGCCAACAATGCTCAGCTTCACGAGCAGATGTCGATGATGGGCATGCAGGTGTGTGCTTCGAGGCGCTGGGATGCGGACTCTGCAAAGCTCCGACAGCCCAGCGAATCTGTTGACTGGTATGGTGTCGTCGACGCCATTGGTAGCGATGGATCCGTAGTCGTCAAACTTCCGGCCGGCAGAAAGGTGGTCGAGCCGTACGAGCATCTCAGCCTCCTTGATGATGGTTTCGATCATGGAGGCCCTCACGCGCCATGGGACAGCGATCAAGATGATGATGACGAAATGACAGATGCTTCTCTCACCTCGGACGAAATCCCCTGGGTTGGCGAAGATGGCGAAGAAGTAGACGAATCTGCATTTGATGATTGGATGGATGTCGAAGAAGAAGCCAAGCAGGATATCGACGGTGCCACCAGCAGCGGCGCGGTCAGGCGGGCTACAACCGCGTCCTTGACCAACGGAACCGCCGACAAAGTTGACACTCCTCCGACCGGTGGCGCAGTAGGCGGCTCGTCTGGCACCACTCCAATCGAGCGTTTCGCTATCTTGGAGTCTGCTCCACAGGATCATGCTTTCCTGAAGGATGAGCCACGAGGGATGAGCCGATTCTTTGCAGCCCGCCTGCAAAAGGAATTCAAAGCTCTGCAGAGCAGTCTGCCGGACTCGATACTCGTTCGGGGGTACGAGGATCGACAGGACTTACTCCGTGTCCTCATCATCGGAAGCAAAGGAACACCTTTCGAAGACGCGCCGATTCTGATCGACTTTTCTCTCAAGGGCGACTACCCGCACTCGCCGCCAGTAGCTCATTACCACAGCTGGACAGCGGTGAGTGTGACTGCATGGGCATCTGACAAGTCGCCAACCGACGCGCATTGACAGAGTGGTTGCATCGATACAGGGCGATCGGGTTTCACCAAACCTCTACCATGACGGCAAAGTCTGCCTGAGCGTGAGTCAAAGTGGCTTGGCAGGCACGCTGATTGCTTGCCACTCACCAGCTCTGACATGACAAATTTAGCTGTTGGGCACTTGGGCGGGCCAAGAAAGCAGCGAAAGCTGGACCCCTTCTCGGTCTACTTTGCTCCAGGTGTTCGTATCTATACAAGCGCTCGTGTTGGTCAGCAGGCCATATTTCACGGAACCAGACTTGGAGCAGACATCGGGAACGGAGGCTGGAGAAGCGAATAGTCGGCTCTACAACGAGCGGGTCTACATCGCGACGTGAGTACGCCCTTTGGCGACTTGACGTATTCTTCGTCTTGCTGACGCTACTCTGACGCGCCTTTTGCACCTTGCAGAAGATCTTTTGTGAAGCGCGTATTGGACAAACCCATTCTGGGTCTGGAGGACGAGCTGAAAGAGTTATACCTTGGAAGCGATGCAAAGCTGCTGCAAAGCATCATCAAGCGAGCAGAAGAGCTTTTGGAGGGTCTCGAGATGCAGGCTGTGCGTCCTGAGCTCGCTGTAGCACCGGTTGAAGAGCCAGTCGTGCATCGCTTGAGCCGTGGCGGAGCAATCGTACTCCACAGGGCCGTCGAAGGTCTGAAGCTAGTCTTGCGCTCCAAAGCCTCCGCAGCCGCTTGACGTTCGAAACATGCGGCGTGTGATAGAGCTGCGAACCCTGCAGCCACCTTTCTCTGGATCGCGCAGCTGACAGGGACGGGCGCTCTACCCCATACCACCTTGGAGAAACAGCTTCGCTCTGCTTGCATCTGCGCACGTCACCTTGTTATGTCCGAATGTAGACACCGACCCGTCATCCATGCTCATAGCTGAGTCAATCGACTGCTAGGGTTTGCAAAGCGAACAGCCTAGGTGTGTGGTCGTTGAACCCTGGCGACGGCTGAGCTGCAGTGCGACAGCAGCGGTGAGGCCCGCGACCTTCGCCGTGCGCTGAGCTGCGCCCGGCGTACATTTACACCTTTCCAAAGCAGTGAGTGCACGTCCCAAAAGAAGTGAGCAATCTGCTGCTGTCCTTGCGGGCGGGAGGCCGGTGCTGCAATTGGTGAATCTTGACTGCAGAACTCGAGACCGCTTGCTCGTGACGCATGACTGAAGTTGAATCGCCCGACCCCATGCAGATATTGCACATGCGGGAAATCGTGTGGGTACGGCTATACCTACACGCACAGCACGCGCAAACTTGAACAAAGCAACGCGGCTCCGCATTTTGATAAGAGCTCCGCCGCTGTGCGTGCTGCTTGCCCCGCGCAATTGCCAAGCTGCATATGCAAGCCAGCATACACGCGCCTGTCTGCTTGCGGTGCCTCAGCAGCAGGGTTCGTTGGTCATCTCGATCACAGCACGCTTTCTGTCCGCATGCTCACTCAAAGGAGTTTGCTCACCCTGAAGTGGCGCAGGACGAGACGGAGCATCAGTCCCTTGACAACAACTTTCAGCTCCAGCTTGCGCACTACAGCTCATCCGGAGCATGAGAGTGAATCCTGGCCGGCTAGCCCTGCGACGGAACAACGATCCTTGTGGCTGTCGTGAGCGCGCCGTAGAATTCACCTGCACGTTTGCCTGCTGATGCGCATGAACCTAATTGGGGAGTCTTGCAGCGGAAGGGCAGCATGAGAAAACATCTGCGCGCTAGGAGTGATACCCCCGCCAGCAACACAAACTCAAACCTCGCAGGGCTCCCTTGTGCACGATCGACAGCTGCTGGGCGATGGCTGCAGAGCTGACAGAGAAGCGCATACTCGTCAGAGCGTGACAGCGAGACCCGAAATATGTGCAGCATGCGCGACCAAGTGTGAGCGGACTACATGTCCTCGCACTCGTTCACATTTCACGATTCTCAAGCCACTCGTGTCAAGCCACTTGTGACTCACGACTGGGCTTTTCCCGTCTCAAGTCTACACACCCATGCAGCAAGCAGCAAGATCCGAGATTATTTACGTGTTTGGCAGTCGTGGCGCACGTCGCAAGGAGCGCGCCTCGGCAGATCCAGGCCGGTCACCTACAGTAGCTGCATGCCTTGCAGCCCCGCACCTTACGCGGAGGCATCAGAATAAGAGATTTGCCGCCGCATGCTTCGACTATCCCCGCTGCGTAGGGTGCGTACTGCCTACGGAACTTACACGGCAAGGCAAATGCGCCGCGCCTCTCTGCTGCGGTCTTTCGGGATGAGCGAAGCTCAGCAGGAACGGGAACAGGTGCGCACAGGAACACGCAGACTCAAACAGCAGCGCAGATAGTAGTAGTGGTAGTAGTAGTAGGCAATTGGTGGAAGGCCGCGATGACGTCCGAGATGCGAAGCACAACAACATTGACACGCGCGCTCTGTCATTGATTTGGCTGGAGGTGACCGCAAGTTCATGTGCATGGTG